TTTAGCTGTATATAATATCAGTATGCTAATAAGAATCCTGATTATCAGTCTTTCTTTGGGAGAGCGCAGCGGATGGGTTTTGTAGGGGCTGCTCCTCACATCCACCAACGCAATGAAATCTGAGCTCCCCCAGCTCCAGTGCAGCGTTATTGGGCTCTCAGAAATCCAATTTTACTGCGTCCAATATTGAGAGTTGATTAAACCTGATTTGAATCGACAAATGTCTTGGGAGGGTGAGTGGGAGCCAGCTGCGAAAGGAGGGGGAGAGTTTAATAAACAGGCTTTGGAGATAAAAATCTCCTTTTATTCCAATAAAACACCCGCATCAGAACGCTGATGGCTGTATGGAGGGTCGGAGAGAGGAGAAGGAAGTCTCGAAGACGCAGAGAACTGGCTATCAAGAGCAGCAGAGATGAAAGATGAAAAGTAGGTGGGAAAGAAACTCTTTAAGTTGTTTACAGAGAGAGCAGTGAGGTGCTGGAACAGCTGCCCAGAGAGGCTGTGGATGCCCCGTCCATCCCTGGAGGTGTTCAAGGCCAGGTTGGATGGGGCCCTGGGCAGCCTGGGCTGCTGTGAAATGTGGAGGTTGGTGGCCCTGCGTGTGGTGGGAGGGTTGGAGCTTTGTGATCCTTGAGGTCCCTTCCAACACTGGCCATTCTGTGATTCTGCAGTTCCCTTGGTTCAAGACAATGGACCACAGCAACTAAAGCACAGCCAGTGCCACAGAACTGCCTGTGGGGACAAGAAGATGCCCTCACTCCTATCCCATCCTAAAGAGTAGCATGCCTTCGTTTGGGGCTGAGATACAGCTGTTGGGGTGCCAAAACCAAAACCCCAACAGAAAACCAGGCATCTCTGTGATGCGATCCCCAAGGAGACAAAGTGACCCAAGCACATTCTGCTGCACTTCTATGCCCACATGCCAGCCCCACAGCCTCCATCCTGCCCCATTCTGCCTTCTATTTGTGCTTCCCTTCTGATAAACCTGAACATCCCTCCCACCTGCAGCCTCGCTGTATGGTAGCAGTGCCATAAATCCCCGCATCCCTCTGCTGTAGGGCTGCTCAGTGCTGTCAGAGCCGCCTGTGAAACCTCCCCCTATGATTTAGGGAGCGGGACGATGCGAAACGCCGCAGTGCCCAAACCCTGCGGCATCCAAGCACTTGGAGCCAGAAGGAAAACTCTGCCCTGTGGGCATGAAACCAAGACCCACAACACCTGGCATCGATAGGGGACCCCATGGGAGCTCCCAGCTCCAGCACACCCCAACAAAGCAGGCTTTTATCACCTTACAAAAACATATTGCCATCTCCTGTGCAGCCGCCGGGCTCCTTGTTATTCAGCCCACATCCGTGCCGATGGCTCTCTCCCAGGCAGCAAAAGATCACAGCAAGGGCTGCTCGAGACACTCGTTGGGACTTTTTTTTTTTTCCATAAGGAGTGTGTTGTCAAAACCTCCAGGCTTTTGTTCCTGCAAAAGGCTTAAAATGATTTTTACAGCAAGGGAGCACCGTTAAACCGTTATCCCCAGCTGTCCTAAAGGGATAATGGTTGGGTATTGGGAAACATTTCTTCCCTGAAAGAGCAGTGATGCAGTGGGATGCAGCTGCCCGGGGAATGGTGGAGTCACCGTCCCTGGAGGTGCTTCAGAACCATGCAGATGTGGCACTGAGGGATGTGGGCAGTGGGCATGGTGGGGGTGGGCTGGGGTTGGGGATCATGGAGGTCTTTCCCAACCAGAGTGATTCTATAGTGATGCTATGGTTCTATGCAAAAGCTGCTTTCAAACAAACTGTCCAAACCACGCTCGCTTTTTCTGTCAGCTGTTTTATCCACAGGGCAGAAATCTCTAAACTGGACCCCACTCCCCCCAGTTCTCCCACCAGATTGTGAAACTTAAAGCTTTGCTCAACCCCAGTGACAACATTCCATCTTAACATCACTCTGCAGCTTTCAGGGTTGAGTTTCAGAAAGCCCACACCAAAATCTCTGGAAGCAAAGGGGAAAATTAAAGGAATCTTGAAGGAATCCCAGCAAACACTGAGTGCAGAGCCCCAGGGCTCAGGTTTTGCACCTCACCAGAGGAGCACACCCCATCCCAGTGGGCCTTTATGGGAACGCTGCATATTTCCACGCACTGCAGAGCCAGCGCCCTCAGCCCGACCCCAAATCCCTGCACAACACAGAGACTTTGCTGCCAGGGGGAAGAAACAGGGATGCAGCCCATGTCTGCACCCCATAACTGCAGCACATGGTGCTCACGTGGCCCCACACACCGGGGACATCACTGCCTTCACTTCTGTTTACTCCATTATCCCATTTTCCACTCTCTAACTCCCTCAGCATTTTCAAGCCAAATCAACCCTCCTCCCCCCCCCCCCCTTTTTTTTTTTTTTTATTATTATTTTTTTAATTACTCATAATTAAGTGATTCTTGGCAGGGAGGCCTATGGAAACAGCATTATCCCACAGGCAGTCAGTCAGTTAGGAATTTCCTCTCGGCCCCCCTGGCCTGAAATGCATCTGGAAAAACAGATAATTGCTTTATTTACTACTGCAAAGTATTTCCTTGCTCGCACGGCCCCTCACAGCACCCCAGGACCTCGCTCAGCTGCTCCGTGCTTTGGTTCTTCATCACAGAACCATGAAACGGGTGGAGTTGGATGGGACCCTTAATGGCCATCTGCTCCCACTCCTCTGCAATGAGCAGGGATCAATGGACATGGGAAGGCTTTTTTGGTGTGGCTGCAGGACCCTGCAAAGAGCTGTTCCCATCTGATCCGGGCAGAAAGTCACCTGAATTCAGCTGACAAAGAAAACAGAAATGCAAAAGCAACTGGTTTCCATGGGGTGGTTTTGGAGGAAATAAGAATAAACAAACATGCTCTCCTTCTTAATGAGACAACAGGGTGAAAATCCATCCCCAAACCTCTGCTGAGGGCAGTCTGAGCTGGTAGGAGGTGTCCCTGACCTCACAAGGGGCTGAAACCAGACTGGCTTTAAGGTCTCTTCCAACCCCAACCGGTCTGCTGTTCCATGAACAGGAAGTTTCACAGCTGCTAATGAGAGAGGATGATTGAAAAGCAGATCCAGACTTGACCAAAGAACAGGGCAGGTATCTTTAGGACCTGTTGCCCCACTAGCCACCTTCACAGGTCCTCCACACTCAGCCACCATCTATCTATCATTCCCATTCCCACCGCCAGCAGCATCCCCCACCACTCAGCCACAGCCTTGTGTTTCCATACAGCCTTCAACACAGCACAGAGGTTGGTTTGGGGGAAACCAGCATCTCACCAGAAAGATGCAGAGCACGTGAGTCGGGTTTTTACCACAGGAAAGCAGGAGGCAGCTCAGCATGCACAGCCCTACGACAGCAATGCTACAGCCTACCTACAGCAATAGGCAGGCAAGAGGAAGAAGGCAGCAAAAACTGAGTGGGGACCAAAGGCAAACCCACAAGCCAACTTCTGGTTACAGTACCCACCAGCTTCTCTGCACATTCTTATGTGATTTTCTTACTTCCAATCCAAGATACTTGGTTGTGGTGGGTTTTCTTGGTTGTTATAAACCAGAAGGCCAAGCTTTGTTTCCAGAGATGTCCCTTAAAAGAAGCCAGACCCATGGAAGCACACCACAGCTCTTTGACCAGCATTAATGCAAAGGAACAGATTAATGCTTGCTGAGATCCAGGGCTGGGCCCTCATTTTGAGCAGGCTCTGTGTTAATTAAGTGCAGGTCTCACATACAAAATACACCAAGAGCCCTTCAGCTCTGCAGACAATGTCTGGTATCTCCTCCCAGCCCCCTGGCCCCAGTGAAGCTGCACCAGAAGTACAGGTTGGATAATAGGAAAAAAATCCTTCCCTGAAAGTGGGGTCAGGCAGTGGAATGGGCTGCCAGGGAGCCGTAGGGTCAGCATCCTTGGAAGTCATTCAAGAAGCATTCAGATGTTGTACTGAGGGATGTGGTTTAGTGAGGAAAGATTGGTGGTGGGTGGATGGTTGGACTGGATGATGCTGGAGGTCTTTTTCCAACCTTGGTGATGTGGTGACTCTATGAATCACTTGAAAAAAAAAAACAACTTGAGAATGGCCCAGGTTGGAAGGGACCTCAAGGATCACGAAGCTCCAAACCCCCAACACAGGCAGGGCCACCAACCTCCACATTTCATAGCAGCCCAGGCTGCCCAGGGCCCCATCCAACCTGGCCTTGAACACCTCCAGTTTTCTATCAAAGCTGCAAATTCTGTCCAAACAAAAGCAAACAACAAAAGGAAACAAGAAAAAAATACGGATTCTCATGCAGTTGCAGTGGAGGTCAAGCTTCTGTTTTCCCAATGAGACAGGACAACGTGCATAGGAGAGCAGAGCAGCAAGTTCCCAGAGCTCACAGCCACGGAGCTCCTTTCTGCTGCTCAGTATTCCCTCATCCCAAGCCCGTATTCAGCCATGAGATCTCAGAGTTAACATTTTAGAAGAATAAAGAAGAATCAGGCTCACACAACTCCGACACCTCCGTCAAACTTCTGTCTGCCTTGTTTTTACATGAAAGAGATTTCTTAAGTTCCTCCTAAAAATATGCATCCGTGCGGCGATACCTTGGAAGGGAAAGAAAGGGAAGACATCAGAGGTGCTCTGGAAACCTCTCACAAAGTGCACATCGATATCCCAAAGCTTTTCCTCTCCCGTTCACCTAAGAGCATCTTCCCAGGGAAGCACAGAAGGCTCCTATTTAGAAGGAAGCCTGCTAGCCAGCTGGCAGGTCACATGTAGAGAAAGCTGCTGAAATCCTGATTCTCCTTTATTATGCTCTTGTCAATGTTCTTTCCTTCTTACTGAAAAAAAAATAGAGAAGCAGACCATTCATTTCAGTTCATTTTAAAGAAACGAAGCTTGCAAATTCACAGCAACTGCGTACAGAAAGGGCACAAACACACAGACGTAAATGAAATGCAGAATTACCATTATGAAAATTAATCTCAGGAGTCACAAAGCATATTATTCCTGGAAATTGCTTTTATTTTGCAATTATGTTAACACCGCGAGAAGGCAGCTGGCATTGAAAACAAACAGCTCCATTTAAAAACCAGGGGTGTCAATCAACTGGAATTTCAGGGCACTCACACCTGAATCCACTCTGTACCTCCAATGCTTAAGGATCCTCAGAGATGTGGGGCTTTGCTTGCTGAGGAACAGAGGGAAGGGGATAAGAGAGCAGGAGAAGTGGTAGCATTCTTAATAAGTTCTTCATACGGTTTTGCAAACCCTTGTCAAGCCCTGACAACCAATCAGCAGGAGGGAAAAAAAAACAACATTGGAGGAGTCGATGAGAATACTGAGATAACATTTTAATTTCTTCTTTTTTCTTGAAGGTTTCTGCCACCCCCTCCCTCCCTCCCCCCCAAAATGGCTTGTACTTCCACGGGTACAACAGCAAAGAAATCATTTCAGTTCATTTCACACAGTGTAGAAAAGACCAGCTTTACAAACACACCCAGAAGTCTACGAGCTGCTAACGCTGCTGGAAGGTGAACGCTTCTCCATCACACTGCGTGGCTGAGGCTGTTCCTATGGCTGTATGGCAGCAACAGGGGCTCTTCACCACACGTTTGATCCCTGGACACCCATCCCTAAGCACTGAGATGGAAACAGAAGGGACTTCAACTCCAAGGTGCCCTGCTGCAGTCAGTGGGACCCGGTTTGCACGCTGCAACTTCTCAGCCCAGCAACTACCCCCACACCTCCAAAAAGCTCATGATCTTCTAAGCTCATCCCTTCAATTCACCAATACTGAGTGTGAAGGTTGTGAAGAGTGCTCATGAAATACAAATATTGAGGAAAAAATCAAAGACATTTGTAACTTCGTTTTCCTTAAAAAGAAGCAAGCCTGAAGGCATCTATTTCTTTTCCCTGCCTTCCTTTCAAGCCACATTTACTGGTGCACCTGCAACGAGGCAGGTAAGTAGAGAAAGAAAGGAACCAAGAACTCACAAGAGGCTGAAAACTGAGTAAATGAGTAGGAAGGAAGGATCAGTCAGAATACTCAGAAGTTGGGCTGCCCACATCTACTCAGCCCCAATGCCCAACAGATTTCTGCCTCCCACCTCCTTGGGTCAACAGCTCTACATGTCCACTCATCCACATCCAGTGCAGAAAGTCAGCAATAACTGTGGGTAAAACGAGACTGACCACTCTCTGCAATACTATCCTTGATAAAAACGGACAAGCACAGCTCCTTTCAAACTGGAGTCAGTTTCCCTAGCACATTAAAAATGCTTTTCAATGACCATCAGTGCTAACGATGGCCAGATCGCTACCAACAGATCTCTCAGCCCAGAGAAATGAACTAGATGCACAGAAACATGATGACTTCCAGAAACAAAACAGCAGAAAAACGAGTGAGCAGCAAAGGGAGAGCTCCCACAGCCCCAACCAAGAGCTTATTTCACGAGGTACATGGAGTTCCAGTAAATCCTGGTCAGTGTGTTGCATTCTCCATGCGACTCCCAGCTGTTCAGGGCAGCCCCAGCCCAGCACCTCCACTCCCTGCTCGGGCTCTGAAGCAGAATCCTTCAATTCCAGGCACTGCCATGTTCACAACCAGTGTTTTCCTGGGATGACCACAGCCTTCCCAATCTATTGTGGGGCCTCCTAACAAAAGAGAGTGCTTTTTGCAGCATGAACCGGGTCTGAAAGCAGAACGGTTATGGTCACAGCTCCTGGCACAGCAGTTCATGGAAGCAGTCCGACAGCGGCTTTCGTCTCCTTTCAGTCCCATTCCCATCCTCCCCAAGAAACACAATCCTCCTTTAATTGCTATGCCAGTACAGTACTGCTACTGTACCAGAGGCACAAAGTGACCACACTTGAAAAAAAAAAATATCTTGATTAAAATGCAGTATCATGCTAACTCTTTTGTACAAGTTGGACCACGGTTCAAAAAAGAACAACACTCACTACTGAGCTGCCTATTGAGACTTCAGCACTCTACCAAGAAGCTGCCAGGAAAAAGAGAAGTGTTACAGCTCCAGCATGCATGGGTATGACAGACTTTTTCCTGCTTTAAAGATCAGACTAGAAAAAAATACTTTTAACTTTAAGTTATGCAGTCAAAGCTGTTTCTGAAGCATTCAAATTGAGTTAACAGGTTAAAAAAAAAAACTTTACAGAATATGCTGCCAGTGCTTGAAATGGTATGTAAGAAACTCAACGTTGAGATCATGAAATGAGCTTTCAAAACAAAGTATGAGTGTGGTTCTCAAGTTCAGTCTCTCCAAACAGGATCAGTCTTGCTTGTCTAGAATCTACGGCTTCCAGTTGAGTTAGCAGAATGAGAAGCCGTGTGGTTATTGAGATGAGAGAAAGAGAAATGGGATAAGCAACTGAGCAGCCCCTCAGTTAATCAGAGCAGCACACGTGGCAATGGTGTTTGAGGAAAATAATGCTACCAACTCCTCTGCCTTCCCAGAAACCCCAGCCTTGTAGGATGCACCCTAGATTTGAGTACTGTTCATGGCAAAGTACCTGGATTTATACATGGGGCTGCTGAAGCTTGCTTCCCAGACAGAAGTTTTCCCTCCTGCAGTATTTTCATCATACAGAACTGCTGACAGTGAAAGCAAAGGAATTCTGCTTAAAACACAGCCTTTTGAAAGGACGCTTCCCTCAGACACAAACCATTCACCTGCCTTTCACTGCACACCAAACACAGCGACCAGATGGTGTGCTGGCACTTCCAACACGCGCTCCTCTAGCTCTGTGCATGCACTTTGCACAGGGCACAGCTACATGTAAGCCCCGAAGCAACAATTCACCTGCAACAGAAAAGGAGGCAAGTGAAGCACAATAATGGAGGTGCCTTGGAACCTGTGCTTTACATCCATTTAGGCTCAAAAGGAGACACGCGTGTCCTGCTGAGCTAAAGCTCAGGAAAAGGCAGCTGCCAGCCAAGGCTGGTGAAGATGCTGCACATGGAACCCAAGACTTCTGCCCCCCCCAGCATAAACACACAGCTCACGGCCAGAATTCAACAGTCAGCATTTCCTGAAAGTGTGTTTTCATCGCATCTCTTGTGAGAAACAAAGTTAAGCACTCCCGAGTCCAATAGGAACGAGGTGGAGGTGAGACTGCCTCTCACAGATGAGGTATATGCTAAACAGAAATAATGCTGCACTATGCATGTGGAACCTGAGGAACTCGTACTGAATATAAACAGGGAAGAGGCACCTTCACATTTACAACAGAAACCAGGAGGAACTGAAGGCCAAAGGCGTTTCTTCCCCATCTGGTTGGATCACCGTTCTTGATGAAGAGCAGCCACAAGGTTGTCTTGTGGGCGTAAGGACTCAGCACACGGAATCACAAGAGGATCTCATTGAGAAGGCACTAGGAAGAAGCATATTGTTTTGTGTTAACAAGATGCATCCTATTTCCAATCACTGAGTGGGACAAAACTGTACAGTTTGATTTTTTTTTTTAGAGAAAATGCTACAGAACAAAACTGAAAAAACCAAAAACAACAACAAAAAAAAAAAACCAGCAAAAAGCAGTAAAAAGTAAAGCTATTTTCAAATTATTAAAATGCTGAACATTTATACAGCAAAATTACACTAAAACCAGCAGCAGACAAAGCATGTCCCAGCACCACCAGCAAGGGACACGTTAAATGTTTATAAGGTTAACTATAAAATAATTTTACAACCAAAATATGAACAGGCCAATTCAAGTATATATACAGAATATATTAAAATCATATAAATTATCTATTTATACAAAGGGCGCAAATATAGCAAAAAGCTACAGTTGATCAAACAGAACTGAGTTCGAGTCTGGAGATGCTGTAATTTTCTCCCGTTTTGTTTTTCTTTATAGACTGGATAGATTGATACCTCAGATACCAAGAGCACAGAAAGCAAAAGGCAGAAACCAAATCAGAGTTCTCACTCTGCATGAAATGACACTAACAGTGGGCAGGCTACATCTCATATGAAATTCTGATTTAATTATCTCCACAGTAAATATTTATCAGCTCCCTTAAAGAGTCTGGAATTCCAAGTGATCCACTTCAGATGTACCACCCCGATACGTGGATCTGATTACATCTGAATGTTGTTTGATTTGCAAACATTTAAGAAAGGAAGATACAAACACATCTCAATCTGCATAAAGAGGTGACAGATGGCAGCTAGTTGAAAACTGAACAGAAATACTCAGCTGAACCAGAAAGGATGCTCTCCTCACAGCATTTTGGCTACTAAGTGAACTCAAATAAATTATTTTTAACCTTTGCTTTTCTTTATTATTTCAAAGCGTAACAGTGCGTAGCCACGACCCACTGAAGCACTTAGATCCTTGAATCCCATCTGTGGGATTATACTTGTACGTTAATTAAGTGCTTCCCTGAATTCAGGTCTATGTAAATAAGTTCTGTGTCAATTGCACCTGAATCTGCTGTTGTGCTGTAGCACTACATCCCTTTCTTGGATTTAGTTTTTCAAGGCTTGCTACATCTCAACCCAACGGTTGTGGGCATGCAAGGCGCAGGTAGGGCAAGCTAAGCTAAGCAGAAATACAGAGATCAGACTACACGAATGCAGAAGGCTGGCTTAAAACCAGATGTATGTATGTAGAAAAGTAAAGAGGTTTCACCATATGCGAGTTAAACGGGGAAGGAATAACAAAACAAAACCCAGCCACACACTACACATAACGAGCAGTGGACATCTATTACACTGAAAAGAAATCAATGCAAACAGGATTTGCTCAGTTTCAAGTAATCCTTGATGCCTTGTTGGCCAGCTGTGTTATACCATAATAGATATCTTAATTACATTTATACTCTGCAATTTAGGCAGCTAATTTTTCTCTTACATATCCAATTATCTCTAGTGAACATTCACCTATGGCTGTCCACACATTCTGCTTTAGCTCCTTGAGAAACTATTCAAGTTAAATTATACTGCAAATTAAAGACAGTTACATTCTGTACGTTCCTTCTAGGTTTGAAAAATAGGTTTTAAAGGCTTGTCAAAGTTTAGAAGAAAAACCTTTCCATTAAAAAATCTTAGCTTAAAAAAATCATTAAGACATCTTTTTCTGATCCAGGGTACTAATAAAAAGATTACAAATATACTACAATTTGACCAAGAAGACTTTGTGAATATGCTGCTTTTGAGCATGCAACCCCACTGATATCTGTCGAGTTCCAGGTATCAATGTATCCCATCCCACCACAGTTCCTCACCGTTTCCTTTGTCAGTTCCCCATCCCCACCCCACCACCCTATTAATAACGTTATAAAAAAAGGTAAAATCTAGAGTTAGTGGCAAAATTTTCACAGTAAGTTGTTAAACAAAACGCTATCGTGGTCATCGCAAAAGTGACATCAGTCGATTGGACCCTGAAAAATAAGCTTGACGCAGTTGTGTTCCCCAGACAGTTGTGTCGCACAAAAAGGGCAGGCAGCATGAAATGCGTGAGTACCGTGAGGCAGCGGGATTTGAGACCAGTATTTTGCAGACTTCTCAGAGCACACGTGTCCACAAGGGGTGAAAGCATGAGTCGGAGGGCCGGCATCCACGTAAAAGCCTGCTTCGCAACCAAGCCAGAGAGGCACGTAGGGGCCAACGGTTCTGCACATCGGACATTCCCGCTCGTTCGCTTCTGTGTCACTGCGATGTCCCCAGTTGTGATAGCCGTGAACGTGACCGCAGCTGAGGTATGCCCAGGGCTGCTTCTCTTCCACCACATCTTTACGGTTGATACTGGGAAATGCCAAAGTGTTTAAACCGACGGGACACTGCGGCCTGGCGGCGTTGATCTCCTGCCGCAGAGCTTCGATGTGTTTCTGGGTCGGGGTGTGAAACAGTCCGTCTGCTGTTCTCCACAGAAGGGTGGCTCCACACAGGTCAATGAGGGAGCCATCTTGTAGGACGTTGGTCTCGTTTTCTACCTAGTGGTGGAACGCAAAGATCACAGAATCACCACAGAATCATCACAGAACGGCTTGGGTTGGAAGGGACCTCAAGGATGACGAAGCTCCAACCCCCCACCTCATGCAGGATCACCAACCTCCACGTTTCATAGCAGCCCAGGCTGCCCAGGGCCCCATCCAACCTGGCCTTGAGCACTTCTAGGGACAGACTGGGCATCCACAGCCTGATAACCAAGATAAGGGGTCAGGTCTGAGACACCACTTTCTCACAACCAACTCTGTCTATAAATACACCCTCTCTCTCAAGAAACAATTACTTTCACCAGCATGCTAAATAATTATCTCGTTCTTTTGTTACGGTCCCCCATTTGTCTGAATTCATCTCTCACCTCTTCTGTATTTAAGATTACAATAAGCATAGCTCTTTTTCATCCTGTTCTTGTAGATGAGATCTTAAATTTGCAACCATTACATGCTACGGGAATACTAGTTACCATGCAGTTTTCCTTCCTCTAATTCTTTGTGAAATTATCACATTACACTAACTTCTTCATAAGGTGCCCCTTCCCATGGTGGGGTTGGAACTAGATGGTCTTCAAGGTCCCCTCCAGTCCACGCCATTCTGTGATTCTATAATTACTCTCACCTCTGAGCACGTTATTTTTTGTCTGGTACTGACTGCCTGCATGCCTTTTATGCCTTTGATAAGTCACCACAGATGGAAGGGGAAACCTGCCATTCCCTCAGGGCTGTCTCAGCCAGGCAGCAGCTAGCTCCCCTGTAATTCCTTGCCCATGAGGACTGGCAGAAGGTTGCTCACGCTAAGACCCTCTATGGACCAAAACCAGCTACTACCAGGACCGTCCTGATACCCAGATACCATTTTTTTTGGCTTGTGGTAGGAGCAAAGCATTTTGCACAAGCATGAACCCCCACAGCATACCTTATTAACGGTGATTCTGCAGATACATTACAGATAAATGACAAATGCAGCACCAGCTGCACGCACAGGTACATCCAAAGGTATCACCACAGAGTGAATTACAAGTCACATCTCTCAAGAGACAAGTTCTGCAACCAAAGCCACCCAGCCTCAGCTTCTGAGCAATGATCCCCCCATCCCCCAAACTAATTAGCCCTCTCTTCAGTGAGGTGTTCCATGTAAATACAGCCCCAATAAGCACTGCCTAAGGGTTTCTCTTATCTGAATGAAAGCAGGTAATCGTGATACATTTTCAAGGGATTATGCTAAACACATTGTACTTCAGTGAAATATTCTAATTTATTTTAATTTCAAAAGTATATAGGCCATTGCCCCCAGTTTAGTTGTGAAGAATATGTATTAAATGAAATCAAGAGAGACAGCATACCTACTGCCCAGGTTTGTACATTGAAAATGAGTAGCAAATGCCACTAAGACAAAATAAATCCCCTGGACATTAAGTAGGTCACATAAAGTCATCACTACAGCCTAAGAATTCCATGAATGACAAGCAATTTGGCATTCACACTTTAATCCAGTTTAAATTCATATTAACTGTGTATCCTCCTTGGATAAAGCACCTAAATGGTACAATACAGACTGCAGATAAAAAGCCACCATCATAAAGTACTAGCAGCATGAAAAAATAAATAAAATACAAAAAAACTCAGTGGTTCAAATAGAGAATCCTTGATCTCATGCACTTCAGATAATGCCTTCACAAACAGAAAAGAAAAAAGCCCTCGTATGCAATGTGTTCAATTCATTATACGCTGCATTTGGTTTTATGAACCAAATCAACGAATACTGATCACATCAATACCATCATGCCATGTAATTTTATTTCAATGAGAATTCAAATCATTTTACATGCAGGAAAGGGGATTTGTTTTAGTACTGCCTTTCCTTAGGAGCTCTATCAAGGTAGTTTGCTAACAACGTAAAAGGGCACAACTGCAACACCAAAACAATTTATGTACTTCAGGTTGTTTTCTGGAGTTTCAGAATTTTATTCTGCATTCATTTTCCAAACCCACTGAAGGAGTCAGTTTTCAGCAAAGCAAAACTGGGTAATTCAGTTCAGCATGAGCACACGGATACCTCTAACACTATTAAACTAATGAGAACAAGGCAGCAGCACAAAAGCAGCTTTGGCATGAAGGAGAGAGCAATGAAAATCCTCTCCCCCTGTTCTCAATGTTTAAAGTCTGGCAGATGGATGATGAATTTAACACACAAACCCTGGTTACATATGGCACAGGTTGGCAGCTGAAGCCTTCCTCTGCTGGTAACAGTGAAGCTATCCTGCTCCATAGGAGAATACAGGAATATACTTAGCAGGGCTCCTTTTATCTTCCTAGTAGCAGGTAAATCAAACAGAAGCTGCACTATTCAAACTCGTTTTGCATACAAGCAGTCTCTTTTAAGGTTCCAAGTGCACGGGGAGCTGTCTTTTGCAATACAAACTTCCAGATCTTCCCATGTCTCAGAAGGACATTTAAGAGGTGAACATTCAAGAGCAAAGTTTGTTTAGCTTCTACACTCTTCTACACTGTTTCAGTTGGAAAGAAGTGACATTAGCAGAAAACTAAAGAGAATTCTGTGTCAGTAGAAACAGAGCAGCAACGAGAACACACTGTAGCACACACATACTTCAATGCTACTGGTACCCTCTACCCTTGCTCTGGTTTAATGACCAGCTGCTTTCCACTCACCAGCTTCCCTCTTTGCTGAGCAGATCTGGTTTCCCGGAGGGTGTACACATCCCCACAGACAGAGATCTCACGCCAAACTCCAGGTTTAGACTCCTCAGTGAACCCTCCTTTTGGATGCATGACCAACACCCCATTGGTTGTTAACCCATCCATGTGGCCATCAGGATTTTTCCATTTTGCTGCTTTTTCCTGCGGGTGACAACCAGCCCCAGAAAGAAAGTTTGTCTGTAAGTTCGTACATTGAAGTTTACAGATGAATTCCTTTGTCTTCAGCACCCAAATCCACAACAGCAGTATTCCCAGTGAGCACCAAGAGCATAGCAGGCAAACCCAAAGAAAAATTCTACCAGCTACTGCAGTAGACCTTCATCAGTAAAGACAATTATCACCAACAGTCCATGGTAACAAATTTGGCACATAAAACTACAGTTACTTCTTAATACCATGGCTGCTACACTGCAGTAATAAAAGTCTAATGACAGGATAAGTTGCCAACTTATAACAAGAGAATCTGAGGGCTTGAAAATAAAAGAGGCCAAAAATTGAGTTTGCTCACATTTAACATAATCAGTAGAAGTACTTACACCGAGAAATATGTTTTTAGAAGAGTCAAATCCAGCTGCAAAAATCCTTGCTGTGTATGGTGGGCTCCTGTCACAAACAATCCTGCATGCAAAGCGGGAGATGGTGCTCTGTGTAATCTGAGTTTCGTCGTTGTTTTGACTCCCAGAAATAGTGTCTGTCACTACAAAGTCTATGGGGCTTTCTGTTGACCTCCCAACCTGTGAAAAGTAGTGAGATGATGGTACAGTTAGAAAGAATCATGGGAACATCACCCATCGAGGGCATAATTTTGTCAAGTTAACACTGATGACATCAATAACCTACTGTCTATTGAATTTCTGGATCGTAGAATGGCCTGGGTTGCAAAGGAGCACAGTGCTCATCCAGCTCCAACCCCCTGCTGTGTGCAGGTCACCAACCAGCAGCCCAGGCTGCCCAGAGCCACATCCAGCCTGGCCTTGAATGCCTGCAGGGATGGGGCATCCACAGCCTCCTTGGGCAGCCTGTTGCAGTGCGATGGAACACACTGCATGGCAAGATCCACTTGGGCTCACACATTTTCACATTGGTCCTAGGCACAAATGCACTGCTAACAGCAAGACAGCTTATGTATGTTTGTCCATCACAGCTCCCACAAGTTGTTTGACGGCATATCAACAGCACAAAGGGATTATCACCTTGAGATTGCATAGTGCAATTACAAGCTAGCTACCACTATATTCTGTCAATTAAGAAAAAGCTTGAAAAAGAAAGCTAAGAAAAAGAAAGTTTTCTTTGCAATTTCTGTTCCAATTTAATTTGCCATGAAAATAAAGGACTTGTTTTTAGATCCAGAACCTGATTATTTTTGTATGTTGTAGCAAGGAACTGCACACCTTCACATTTTCAGAATTTGCAGCTCGAGAACAGAAAAGCTTTCAGATAAAACCTAATCTATGATTAAGTTTATTCCAAATCATAAGCGTAAGGAAGTTAGATACATATTTTTGTCCACTGACCAGCAGTGTTTTTATCTTTCTGAAGAGAAGGGAGTTTTGTTTTTGTTTTATATCTTGCTGCCTACATGTTTTAACTGTAAAACTGGGAACACCTCAGCAGTGCAAAACAGGACAGCAGGAACTGAACTTGTGGTTGGATGATTTTTACGGTCTTTCCCAATCTGAGCAATTCTATGATTCCATGATTTCATGAAATGCAATCTCAGTGCCCAAGAAATTGCATTCTGTTTAACTTCTTGCTCCACAAAAGCATCTACTGGAACACACATCTTGTTTCGTCATGAGTATTAACATCTCTGCAAATCAAATCCATTGTATCAACCTAAAACAGTAAAGAAAAGTTATCTAAGAGTTGAAAGTGATATGTTTGATACACATAACCCCTATTAAGCCCTGTCACAACTGAATGATAGGAACAGTGCAGGATCTTTCCCATGCCCCTGTTCTACTTGCAGTTCTGCTCTGCAGTGCTACTCTTGAATGCAAGCTGAAAGTCGTGTCTCAAGGAACACATCCAATTCTTTCCTCTGCATCACAGCTCAAAGCAAAAAATATGATGAGCTTGTCAGAGAAAAACCACCGAGGAAATACTAGCAGAGGCCCCATCAAAAGTATGCACTTCAATTTTTCAGTGAAAGTAACACGATTGCCAGAATACCCAATAGATAGAGTTTAGAAAACCACTTAATATAGGAAATTCTGATTTATGAAACTTGACAGGTTCAATCTAATAAACTATAAAGCTGTTTTCTACAATATTACCACCAACAGGCTCCTATTTGCCACCCAATGCAGCTCCTGCTAAGAGTCAGCACTGACCAGCAGCAGGAACTTTATTCCTAACTTCTGACTAATCCGTATGCAAAGTCTCTTAAAGGGCAATCAATAACGAATATGAAGTTGTTCTTAACAAGCTCCTGCCTGTTGCAGTCTCCCCAGCAGCTCACTCAAGGCTTTTAAGAGGCAATTAGAAAATCCTGGCTTATTTTCCTGTAAAAGCTGCAAGCCTTCGTGCCTTGTCTTCCTCATACCTCCCTCATCTGTCAACATGAAATCCAAATACATCCAGACATAAGCATGAAATTACATATACCACCATCCTGCATTTTTAAAAAGCTGAGATTAAAAGTAAATTTTGAGCAACAACGAAAGGCTGCATTTCAGGACTCTTTCTGACCAGTGCCATCATTTCACCCAACCACTTCCAACACCACGCTATGAATCTTGCAACTGATGTGCCAGACAGCTTCTGTTGTCTACACTACAAGCTGCTGTTCAAAGCTGTCAGAGCCAGGCCATCAGTCAACTCGCTGCTGCCTACTGTCAGTCAAACAGGTGTTATCAAAAAGCCCTCACTCCTGAGACAAGGCAAACCCAGACAGCCTGCCAGCACACAACGCAACCGCTGCAGACTCTTCAACTCAACAGAACTCTGCTCTGATCACTGGGAGAAGCAGGGAGAAGCATCTTATGTTGTTTTCAAGAGAAGTCACAGAATCACAGAATCACCCGGGTTGGAAGGGACCCCAAGGATCATGTAGTTCCAACCCCCCTGCCTAGCAGGGCCACCAAACATACACATTCAGATCAGGTTGCCCAGGACCCCGTCCAACCTGGCCTTGAACACGTCCAAGGACGGGGCATCCACAACCTCCCTGGGCAGCCCGTTCCAGGGCCTGACCACTCTCCTTGTAAAGAACTTAGTCATAGAATCCTAGAATGGCCTGGGTTGAAAAGGACCACCATGATCATCTAGTTTCAACCCCTCTGCTATGTGCAGGGTCAAATGTTCAAATCCAATGCTCATGTGCAATATACCCGCTTCCTATATAGACCTGGAGTTATTTAGGCTGCTGGCTGCACGCTGTGATCCTTCTAGAGATACTAATTTGATCCACTCTTGTCCAAACAGACCGTGAAGGAACAGGTTCTGCTCCAACCTGATGCATCACCTACAGATTGCATCAACTCGTAAAAATCTTTTTCTTTTTTTTTTTTGCAACACACAGGTGATGAAAGGAACAACTTGTCTTTGGGGAAACAGAAAATGAAACGTTAGCACATCCATGCTTTTAACCAAATGAATACACTCCGTCTAGGTGTCAGTAATACGAAGCTCCACGGTAGCGTTTGTGCTCAAAATTCACCAGACAATTACATCAAGGAAAAAAACACCCAACAGAATAATAAATACAAATGTAGTCTGCATGGCTAACACAGTGTGCGTGTGCACGGGGAACAGGGGCTGGAATAGGGGTGCATATGGGGCATGGTGTTATAAACTAGATAACCAATAGGTTATACACAGAACAGATGGAAATTTTAATGTCAGTAATGAAAGAATCAAGAAATTGCATGGTTTGCCTATGATAGCACATGTCATCAGGAGTCTGAGGAGAGGCCCCAAGTCTTAAGATAATCCTCCATCTTGCATTACCCTTCCCTTTCCAGATTCTGTATCCTTACTACTGTTCTACAGAAGTCAGGAAAACAAACTTCAGAAGAAAGCAGCAAACTCAAAGAACTGTCTACTCCAGCAATGATTGATCAGCAGTAAAGTTTTATCCTGCAGATCAATACAGACAACTAGGAATTTGCCACTGTGTGGGATGGAGCAACATAAAACAGCCCTCCAGTAGCTACTCTGACAGCCCACAGCCTAAATCTTGAGAGTAATTAAAGCCCAGTGGCTTGCCCAAGTTAACTGAAGCCTCTTCAGCTGCTGTCTGAGCATGCCCCAAACAGCAAAATACTGTCACAATCTACCAGACTATTTCCTTCCCTGTTACATGCTTATCAGACCCTTCAGGCCCCTATCTGCAGCACACTGAAGGAGGCTACAGGCAGAGGAAACACGAACCAGCATGCAGCACTCAAGGTAAAGCCGAGATCAAGTCACAGCATGACAGCCTTCACATCATGGCTGAGCTGAAAAGACAAATCGGAACAACACAGAAGTTGTAACCCTGACACATGAGCCGTTTGAGGGGGCATCAGGAGGACTGGGATGCTCTACAAACACGACACTCGTCTCAAAACGTTCTGTTAATAAGATGGGATGGGTTGGCTTGTAACAGGTCAAACCAGTCGTGTAACTACAAAGGTAGGACAGACAGTGGCACGAACCACAGGCATCATCTCAGAGGTGAATGAGTAAAGAAGCAAAAATGAGAGCTTTTGTGACATTCACTCGGCCTCTGAGAGCTGATCCAGGCTTGCAGAACGGCACTGAGATGTGCACTGCAGTGCCAGCTGGTGCAGTAGGTCTCTGGGTCAGTTCAAGCTGTCTCACTGTGTTACTCCATGCAAGTTCCTGCTCTGCTGAGCATCAATGGATCCCAACGGGTGCCACGGGAAGCTGCTACGTTTGCTAGGCTGCTCCACACCGAAGTGAGTGTAGAGAGTTCCTCTCAAGGTAAAATCCTGGCTTAGGTTTGAAGTACCTTTAATTAGCTCCCTTACCCTACTGCCTTAGACAGGCATCACCTCTACAGTAATCTGTAGAGCATGGTTTTACTTCAGGCTGCTAGATTTCATTAGTGACAGCTGATCCCTCCAGCTAATTCTTTACTGACATCCTTCCCTAAAGGAAAAGCTGCAACTACCACTATATTATTATACAAGGAAAGAGTTATCTATACAATGCAACCAAAAATGCAGCTGTTCTGCTACTCTTCACTAGCACAAAGAATTATTTTATCTGTGTTACTGTACACAAGAAGTAGAAAAACCTCCAGCTTTCTTAAATGGCTTTTCACGATTACTGAAATGTACAAACACTTTACTGCAGCTACTCAAAGCACCACGCAGAGATGAATATCAACCAGGAACTCAGAAGCAGGGGTTACGTTTTCCTTTTACCAAAGTTGTTCAGTTCACCCCAAGTGATCATTTTATAATGGTGGAGCATGTGGACAACACTGTTTCTTCCCACTCTCTCTTTGGACTGAACCGTTTCCAAGAAATACTGGGAAAACATTACATAGAGTAAAGAACAGAAGCCCCACAAGGTAAGAAGCCCTTTTCATCTTGACAGAGATGTTTCCTCTCCTGTCAACAGCATGCAGTTGCTGACCCTTCTGAATTTGAATGAGCAGGGATAACAATCCATGATAAGATGCTCTAATTACAGAGGTCGCTGAAGAGACAGACCCAATTAGTCTAGATTGGAAAAGGTTGTGCATCTTTGTTTTTCCTCCAAGCTTGAAGTTTCCACTGAAATAAGCATCACACAATAGCTAGCTTAGGTTACCACACTATCAGATGAAGAGAAAAACAAACACGCATATGTGGGTAAGTGAAAACACACTGGATATTAAGGTACATAGAGAAAACTCAGCACGGGTCCCTTTCCTTCTTTCTCATCCCATGTTCTGCTCTCATTCACTTCATTTTACTGCAGTTATTCAATCAACTGGAAGCTGGCACAGGCAGGAGGGTACATAATTTCTGCTTATTCGTGAATTCAAATGGACTACTCATTCCTTTCTGGTAATATTTGTACCATCACCACACTGCCCTTGCAGAAAAAAACAAGTGCAGGGACAGCAGAGGCAGTACAGATATTAGCAGATGCTGGCAGTGCTCTGAGAAGAACATATTAGGGCAACTGCACAAGAATTCCACACCACAGACAAGATGCCCTGAAGAATATGAAGCAGAACTATGGCTTCACGTATTGCTTCAAAGAAATTAAAAAGAAAGGAGTTGCACAGAGCCTTACCTGAAACATGTCTGTATCTTTATCATGTGTGTACTCCACTACAACCGTCTGATTTCTGGATAAAGTGTAAGAGATACTGTGCTGACCTTTGCAGCTGATAGCCTGTTGAATTATAAAAGAAAATAAATTATATACAGTTTTACAGAAATATCATAATCAAATTCATTTTGCTATATAAAAACCTTTGACCATGATCATAATTTTAATATGAGGCTTGGTAAATAAATGCAGGACTTCTCGTTATAATAGAAAATCACAAGCTGCTCTCATTTGCTTCTGGTTTTAAAGTACCCATACCTACCATTTTCATTGTCCAGACTCCAAGCATATGGTTTTAACTCAAATTATACGAAGTTCCCATGCCTCAGAGGAACCCAGCTCCAAAGATTGGGCTTTTAGGGTTCCCTAGTCCTGTCTTCTTTTTTAAGCAAGCATGCAATTAGATCAATTCCCAATTAAAAATGCCAGGATTTTGAAGGTAGGAGTGTCATTAGAATCGAGCAGACTTAGCACTTACATAAATCATGAGGAAGAGCGTGCACTTTCAACATGTTTTTCCTCACTCTAGTGTTTCTCACTCCCTGCCAAAGGAAACTGATCTCTACAGATACGAATGCAGCAAAGACCAAGCAGTACTTCAGCATTTAAAGCAAGACGACAAGAGGACACTCCTGTTGCACATAGCAGGAAGGTTGAAACTAGATGATCATTGTGACCTTTTTCAACCCAGGCCATTCTATAATACGATATGATTTGGCTGAGTACGAATTCTTGTTAAGCCTTCCCAGGTTTACATCTCTACAGAAAAGCTGTACCAGTGCAATGACTTCCAGAACAGAACAGAGACATCACTCCAACATAGGAGTGCTCACAGCTCTAAAACAGACACCCACAAACAACAAAACAAACAGCAAGAAACCCATTTCCCCATCTAAAATAAGAGCACAGCTGTCCCAGTGGAGAGCTGTAAGAAGGGGTGGCACACAGCAATTTTTTTGGCACCTCTGAGACTCATACAGCATTTCTGTGGCACTAATGATCAGTTCTCAAGCTTGGGATTAATAGTTATTATGCAATGTCAAATCATAATTGCACTCTGTGTACAATGTAAATGCATCAATAAAAGCTTCAGGACAGAGGAGAACCCACTGAGAAACTGTGCCTATTGGCTAACAGGAGACTGTGTGTAAATATCAAGTCCATACAATGGCACGTCATTAGGAAAAAGGCAATGACTTACTACTCAGAAACACTTGCAGATACTTAAGTACTGAATTAATAAATCAAAGCTTTCTCCAGATTCCTGCTGAAGGGGTTTGTTTTCTAGTCTCAACAGCTTCATTCCCTAGTGTGCTCTTCACCTACAAAATCACAGCTGGGGTGGGTAAGCCAAGCAGCTACATATAGGTATTCAGCTACATATAGGTATTCTGCTCTTCTGTCTGTCATCTCTCACAGAAGCCCAGAAGTTCCTAATGCTACAAGTGCTAAACAAATCATTAGAAGCGCTGCTGAATGTTAGAGCTACCTAAAAACACTGCCATGCACACTGAAAGCCTACTAAGGGCGAGCAAAACTACTGATGCATACATGAAAAAACACTGGCAAAAGTATTTTTTTCTTTTTTGCAACCGAGTGTCTGCAGCAACAGATTAGAGACTGCTTTACAACATCCCTCTGCTGAAAGCTCCCAGCAGCTTCAACACCTGCTAAAGCTTTAGGCTTAGGTGATAATACCTGGAGGCAAAGGATTGGGCAAGATGACCTCACTAGTCCCTCCCAAGCATTTGTCTGCAAGCAAGCTTTTCACACTTGAGAGGTTCTGTGACTTCAAGCCATGGTGCCTAATTCCCCTGTTTTTCTTCCAGCAGGGATAATGACTGCTGAAAAGTGAGGTAAACACATTTGGTGATTGGTGGTGCGCTAACAGATTCGAAATGTCTCGTGTTCAATGGGCAGGCTGTTTGGTAACAACCATTATGCTGACGCACAGTGTGTTGCAAGAACTAACAGCATCTGTAGATGCAATGCAAATGAAGTCACCACCACTTTGTGACCCGCCAGGAGCAAAGCGTGCAGCAAGAGCTTCTCCTCTTTGCTGTCCAACACGTGAGGAGTGGGATCTCATGCCCCAAGCAGGTCTCAGAAGCTAGAGAGCGAACATGAAACATTAAGAGCAAAAGAGACCTTTACACTTTGCATTTTAAGCATAATAATGCAATGATCAACTTCTACTTACGTTATCAGGCGTTTCAAGTGTCAGAAAGTAATTGCTTTCAGACAAAATTCATTTGGTGGCAGCTGAAACCATCATGGGAGACAGCCCCGTCCTTGACTGTTACCTGATGATCCTGCCTTAAGCTCCAGCCAGCGCATGAATACTGACCACCAGCAGCAGGGTGAAATTACCAGGCAAGGATGAGTGCCCTAAGCTTACACTCTTCTCAGTCTGCAATTTCTAAGGTCCAATTAAAACAAAACAAGATAAGTGGGAAAGTAAGAAGCTCCAGGAATACTTAAGGTCATGTCCTCATCAATAGAATGTAGGGCACAGATGTGCTAATAATTCCCATCAGGTCATCCATGGTTGGCATCTCATCTGAAATATTAGCGTAGGACATAATCTGTATTCTTCCCCCCCCCCTTTCTTCCTCATCTTATTTCTCCTCTTTGCCTTCCTCTGTTCAAACCCAGTCGTTTCCAGTGCAAAAAGCCACATTTTGTTTCCTGGACTTGTGTAATCATTTCTCAAAAAGCTGAGACTATTACAAGCAATGTTCCAACCCATGTCCTTTCAGGCTACTCAGCACCAACAGTTCCTTCAATTCAAAGGACATTTTACAAGTATTTTAATCGCTTGTCTCAAAGCAATTGACCATTTCTAGCTAAGAAGAAAAGTAGCAGTATTTCAGGACTACACAAAACCCAAGAACTGGCACAATGAACTACAAGTGCAGGGCAAATATCTCAATAAAGCAGCACTGCGAGTGGAGTGCATCCACAGGCAAAAAATCATGAAGGACCTCGATAGCTTGATAAGCTATAGAAACACAGTGTTACCAGTCCCAAAAGCCTGGTGATGGATTGCTCCAATCCCCTTATACTTCTCCTAGGCTGCCACTAATTGCACAGTTCCAGTAAGCTGAGCTGGAATAAAACCCCACCTCACTAACACAAATAGCCTGAGCTTGCCAAACAGCTCAGAGACACGCAGTTCCAGGCTGGCCATTGCAAATACCACCTCTTGTCCAGCCAGAATGCTGCTGGGGAGATGCAGGCTAGATTCATCCTGCTGCCTATACAATTGGGTCCGTATGGCCTGCTGTCTCAAGCTGCTGCATTCAAGTAAAGCCTTCAGGAGATAGAGTGGGGACAAAAACTCTATGGAAGAAGAAAGTAAGAAGTAATCAGAGCAGGACATCTTCCATGACAATCCCACTGCCAGCAGCTCCATGCCCACACTGGGACTGAGGGATTTTAAGTCCAAATGAAAGGAAGAGGAAGATTGGGGTGCCATATTCCAGTTGGCATGAAGGCTTCCCCAGCACCTTTCCAAGCTGGAGCCCATGTTTGCAATAAGTCGCTCACCTCCATGAGACTTTCAGCTGCAGGACAGCACACATTTGCTCCATGCTCCTGCATGCTGAAGCAGTTTATCTTAAGAGGAAACCTCCTCTCCATTGCTAAAAGCAAAGCTTGCAGTTAGCTCACTTGTGCAGTGCTCCCACAGCCTCAAAATTTGCATTCCAGTAATTTAAGGACATAAAAACTGCCGCATATTAACAGAGACTGGAGAGGTGCATATTAACCTCACTAACCCACCCTCACTCTTGACATGGCCAAAGCAGTTCAACTTAAATCAGAACTTTGCAAACTACTTCATAGCAGCTCCTCAATCTTTCTGTCATTTCACTCCCATGGGTCAAAATTATGCTTGGCCTTGGTTTTTCCCCACTTCCTTATCCACAATTTCCATCCTTGCTTCTTTCTCTCCAGATGGAGAGCAAGATTTCATCACAGCACTCTGCATAAAGGCCTCGGCTTACAGACCTGCCCGATCTCAGAGGAACCAACATCAAACAGTGCTTCCCCAACAGCAGTGCAGTAGCTCAGCCCACCCAAAACATCTCAGCCCACCTGAATGCATTGCTATCCCTCCAGATCCCCACATCACCATTTTGAGAACTGGGAAAGCCAAATGCACTCAGCCTATACAGAAAAACACCTAGCAGGTAAGGGGAGTAAGAACATACAAAGATTTTGTTAAATAAGCAGTATCAGAACTCTACTTTTGCTAGCAAAATAGAGAAAAAGGAGGGATAACACCAATAAAACACCTTCAGCAAACAAAACTTATGCCCAGTTAGCAGTAGCCATGCACAGCACCTTCTCATCTGCAGGCATACAGCATTACTCAGGAGCAAGACAACACGGCAAGTGTCAACTCCTACCCTAACCACAGATGGGGCACACAGCCTCCATCCCAGCAATTAGCAGAGGGCAGTACCTCTGAAAACAAGCTTTAACCAGCTCCTGTTGTGCAACGACAGACTGATGTCAACACCACTCCAGAATTGCCTTTATGGACCAACAGGACACTGCAGGTATAGTAAATACGCTGGACTAAGGACGAGGCCCAAAGAAAGGCGTGCAAAGTACAGGTGTGTTTTTCCCCCAAGGTTAAATGCAGATCTCCTAGCAATATTCCCCTAGAGGGGAAAAATTACACGGGTTTCTCACCCACCATCAGGCAGATGTTCCTCATCTAGGAGCACCTGCTGATGTGCCACAGCCCTTCCCAGCACCGACATGATGAAGGTGCTCATTTGCTATAGGCACCTTCAGCCCAGCAGTTCAAGAACAGGTCAGAAACACTCAGCATTAACACTGCCATGCAGCGGGGTCAAACCTTCTGTGTCAGGAATGTGTCCATGAATCAACTGAAGCAGCAGATCCTGACATTCTCACAGCCTTTAGGCCGTTACGTACAAGCAGCAGGTCCAATCCACTGCCAGAAATGGATGTTTTCCTGCTTTTTTTTTTTTTTTTGCTCTGCTGATAGTATTTTCAGGAAGAAGAATAATACGTGAGCTCTGCTTTGG